TGCGCCGGAAAACTGCGAAACTGCCGTTGTGACGAAACAGTGAATTCTTATGTACTGTAGATTACTTCCTCTAATACGCCGTGTAGTCAGAATCCATGTTTTATGTGTTTTTGATACCAAAAAATCGATTCACGGCAAAACGTCTGTCTGCACGCCTAAAATATTCTTACATGGAACCTGTCACACGTCAAATCTGACGTACTCGCGCACATTTCCACGATGCACCGATGGAGTGTCGTGCGCAAAATTCACATAAAAATGACTAAATTAATATTTTTTTAAAACTTCGTTCCCATTTCTCTTATAGCTAAGGTTGATTAAGTCCCACACAGCCAGTTATGGTCAGAAAAATTACGACAATTATCTCAAACCGTGAAAAAGGATTATATTATTACAAACTGTCACTGCACGAAACTCATATGCCCCCGCGCACCATCGCAGTTTAGTGATCGTTTGCCTCCCACAAATCCGGGATGCTCTGATCGTTTGCATACCGCTAAGCACCCTTGAAAGCGGTTGCTTCCTCTCTCTCTCTCTCTCTCTCTCTCTCTCTCTCTCTCTCTCTCTCTCTCTATCTATCTCTCTGTCTCTCTCTCTCTCTGTCTCTCTTTCTCTCACACATACTCTCCCTCCTTCTCTCTCACACATACTCTCTCTCCTTCTCTCTCACACATGCTCTCTCCTTCTCTCTCTCACATATCTTTCTCTCTCTCTCCCTCTTCTTCCCCCTCTCTGTCTGCCTGTCTCTCTCTTTCTCTGTCAGTCGTAAAACTGGCGAATTGAATGCAACCGACGCAGAGAAATGTTCGTACTCCACCGCGTCGCTTCGCAAACCGCTACATTATCCCAAGCCCTTAATCGGCTAAATGACGATCAGTGCTCGCTTTCCGCGTGCATACATTGCCAAGGCTGCACTGTAAACAAAATATAATACCATTAAACCCTGCATTTGGCAACACGCGCGGTTCATTTGAAAGCGTCACATATAGTGAGAGAGGTGTAAAATCGGTAATAAATGTGAAAACAAATAATGTAATAAGCATTTCACACTTTCATGTCCTTTTCTGATTCAGGCAAATGAATTTTATCGAGATGTGATAAAATTGAAGGCATTTATAATAATGAGGGTTCTAATTTGGGCTTACGCTGCTCTCTTCTGCACCAAAATTTCGAAGTCGAAAGAGTTTATTTGCATTTTCGTTACAATTAAATTAATGAGTTTTACCTTATAAATAAACAAAAATAACATTGAATAAAACTTACGAACAAATCCTGGTTTGCAGAAATGTTTAATACGAGTTCTAAGTAATTATGTTCTTGAATTAATTTCTTTTACACCAATTTGATTTAGATTTTTGGTTGTTTTAATTCGATTTTAACAATGCATTATATCTCGCATTTTATTGTTCATGCGAAAACTTTACAATCTTATATGAAAATAAATACCAGTTGTTCTTAATTACAAGAAAACTTGAAGAGATAAATTAATAATCGAAAATTATTCTTCGTATATCAGGGATCGCATTGAGAAAATAGACATTTGAATGTGGAGAGAGAACGTGCTCATTCATCGCAGATTCCTTGTTGATGTCAATTGATGTTTTGGGATGGGGTGTCTCGATATTAATTCCCGAAAGCAGGAAATATCGCGTGTAACTCGAACGGCCGTAATACAACATACTTTTAACCCTAGATTACAAAGTATCAAATCTAGTTTTATGAATTCTAAGATCTGTGTTACACGTTTTCACTATTTTTCACAAATATCGACAGTGTATTGATGAGGCAAGTGAATAAAGTCAAAGGCAAAATAGCCCTTATTAGAAGGCAGCCCTCAACAATTAGAATTATCTCCAATTTACAAAGAAACGTATAAATTAGAAGCTGTAACACCTGACCTATGTTCTTCCCGGGACGATAAGGATTGAGGTTCTCTCCGATCACAAACAGTCCATATTTTTGAGCGCTCATTGGAAATGAGCAAACACATGATTCACAGCTGAGTACATTACCCTTCCTTGCGTTCGCGGAATCGGGTAAAAAGAGGTCACACATAATCACGCAGATACACACAACCCGTGGGAGAGATCCGTAGATACTCAAACAGCAAATTTTGGACGCTCAACTCTTCGTGTAAACTCATCGCCCGTCGACAACAGTCGCTGTTTTGCGTGCGCAATCGTGGGACGGAGAGGCGATAATCAACGCAAAGCGGGCGTGCGCGCTAGGTAGGTGGCGCACCAGCCTCGCACTCGTTTTGCACTGTTGCCACGCTCACTAATGCATTTCCCCCAAATAAAATAAACCTTTAAAAAACATAAAAGCAACAAATCAGCAGTAAGTTCAAATAATTGTTTTAATGATAAGTGAATACACATGGGGCCCAAGCAGGAAACGTCGAAAATTCAAAAAAAAAGCTCTTAAAATAGTTTTAAGCGTATTTTGTCTAATAAAGTTCAGTCACATTTTATCAGTCATTAAACTAAGTCATATATTGTCTTCCTGAATATTCTTAATGGCTGAGCCACAGGAAACACTCAAAAGTTGATTTGAAAAAATGCTTTTGAGGCAAAAAATTTACATTGCAGAAGCATATAACCACTCCAGGAACATGTAAATTGTTTATTTCTTATAAAAGAAAGGAATATATATTTTTAAGAAAAAATAACCTATTAAGAATCTAGTGGTGCTACAGAATGGCACAACTATTCCTGTATTAGTTTCGTTTTTTCCTTTAGCCTTGGCTAGCTCACGAACTTACCACGTACTCTTGTCAGCTGCCATCTATCGCCGCCCAAGGAACATTTATTTGAAATTTTCTCAATTGTTCGGGTTCCTAATAGTAGAACGGAAACATTTTTTTAAGAATATTAAGAATATTTTCTAAATGGCAATTTGCGTTGCACAATTTGAAGATGTCTTTAAGGAAATGGCGCTTAAATGTTATTATAAATTCGAAGTTTGAAATTTTTTTCACAGAAAAATTTTGAACATAAGAAAAACTTTTGAAGTAATTTGAAACACATTAGCTCACGAATACAATAGTGTTTACAAGTCACAAAAAATTTGTGCATATAAACGGCCTGAAAAATGTTTGAAAAAACAAAAGAAACTAAAATAAACTTTACGTCGTATTAAAGAGTGCAATTAACACTATTTGTACAAAAAGTTTGAAGAAAAAATATGTAGTAATTTTTAAGGAAATGTCGTTTTAGCGTTTCTGCAAATGCAGAAATTTGAGCTAGTTTTCACACAAAACGGTTGAGTTTCCGAGAAACTTTATATGACATAATTTAAATCACATGTACGCTTAAATATAATAATGTGAACAAATTGCCTAATGTAAATATTGACGACGTGAGAAACACTTCAAAAAATTCGTTTTGTAATGTATGAAAAACAAAAGGATAGAACAATATCGCGTTAATGTCATCACATTAAGTACATTTAGCACAATCCCTTCCAAAAGTTTAAAGAAATAATTTGGAGCGTTTTCTGCGAAAATCTTGTTTTGGGGATTTCTTTTAATAATTGCATATATTGCACGCAATATTGCGCAAAAACTAATACATTTTTCAAAAAAATGTGCAGGACTTTAACAAAAGTACTCACTGAAGTGAACTAATTTTATCTGAATGAAAAATGTGTCTTCATTTTTACAATTGCAGGAAGACGCTGAAAAAAACTGAAATATATTTTTTTTCGAAAATTTAGATATAAACCTAAAATTTATATCAATGCTACGTTTACAAAAGTATTGAACCGTTTTTGAGAATATGTTGAAAATGTCCGGGAGGCTTCATGTTAAGAACTTCCAATTTTTAAAGATCTTTTTAAATATCTCAAGACTTTGACACGAGCCATATGAACATGGTTTTCTTCAATTTGGAAAAAACCCTACCTATTGTTTAGGTTCTAGACGTATTTACAGACGGACAGTAAAACGGACAGACGGACCTTTTGAAGAAAAAACAATTTTTCGGTATCAGGGTGACTCAAAACGTGTGTTTTCGTTGAAATTTCGAAATACATTTTCTGCAGAATTACATAACTTTCCTTTTACTATGTATAATACTCCGTATATACGTACGTATAAAGGAAGTAAAAAGCACAAAATTTACTCAATTTTACTGCTTTTTTTATTTGTGAGTTAATTTTTCTAATATTTTTAATAATAATTATTGTAAGAACAACAATCTGTGCCAGCGACGGGTTGCTATTTAAATAGAATTAAGATACAAATTCTTACTTTTAGACCTTTTTAAATTGCTCTAACACTGAAACGTCCATGCCAACTTATTCTGAATAAAGTATTGACCACTTTTCCACTTATTATCAGTAACCACATATTACATTAAGTTTATATTGTTCTTTGGCAAAATAAACCATCAAAACAAATCGAAAAAATCTGGATACTGTAATTTCCGAATGAAAGGTACTTGATATTATATTCAGATAAGGTACATGCTGTAGAAATTGAAGTAACTTATTAAATTTTTTTGAAACTTTTCTATCACTTTAAAAATACTTGCCGAAGTACAATAAAGTTTCAATTTCTAACAAAATCCTCTAAAGTTATCTTAATGAACATCCTCCCAACTGACTACTACAGCAAAAAAGGCAACAGATTTAGATGCACAACTCCTAACATGGCAACACTGACACAGTACCTGGGCGCTCACACTGATTAACCACCGCGCCCACGCTACCCCTGTTCCCTCCGCCAATTCCTCGCGCCCGCGACGGTGCATTGAACCAACCAGCAGTTTGCCCAACCCCAATATCCTGCAACCGGCGCCCGCCGCGACCTCCCCCCCCCCGCGGTCCCCTGGAACCGGATATTAGCTAGTGAAAGCCACCTTAACCCTGGGCGAGGGCGGTGACGGGGGCGGGGGCGGGGGCGGGCGCCGTTCTCTGCTAACCGCTTTATGTGTTCCTGACTGGGCTAATAACACTCGCGCACACAATAAGTAACTCTCCTGCCGTTACCGTGTGTTAGAATGCGCAGAGAACATCCGCGGCAATGCTCCAGGTGCGTGTTGGGCCTCTTTCCTCGCTGAGAACTGTAATCACAACCTGCCACTTAAACAACTATTGGTTGTAACACAGCATGTACTTTCTCGCTCGAATTGTCACGCAAAAGTTGTTCACATCGGCAAAAAATTGTACATGACTTTTTTTCAAAATCTATTTGTAAACAACAGCTTTTATTAAGGGATAAAATCTCTATTTTTATACTTGTAATTGTATGAAGACGCCGAAATTTTTTTTTCAATTTAAAAAACAACAGTTTTTCAATGCACATTACTCTTAAATGTTTTCAACCCTACCAAATAACAAAATTTAATCCAAAACGGTAGAGCCGGTTGTTTTTGTTGAAAATTTTGAAAGGGTCCCCGGAGCTTCATTGAAAATACCCCCAAAAATTAAAATATTGGTGCAGAATTACAAATCTTTTACTCTACTGCGCAAGTGGAGGCGAGAAAGTAACAGTCAATGATTGCCAACATGGTACTATTCACGTAAATGATGCATCAGTGCAAACCACACTTTTTTAGCAGAATAAGATGTTCAGATACCACAACGATGATAACATAAATGGGATAATTATCTAGTGGTGCTACAGAATGTCATAAACGTTATGGCAGTAGTTTGTTTTCTAAACTCTTTAGATTAGGGTATCTTCCCGTTATTGCCCCACATCTTTCCCGGCTGATTCCTATTGACGCAGAGAACAATTTTTTTCTCATTCGCATTTTATTTTTTACATTCCAGGTCAGGTATATTTCTTTGAAAGTTTTAGTAGTTTTCCCGAAATATTGCGTACTATTTGTGCAATTTTAAAAAATTACAAAAAAGATTTTCTCAAAACCGGCTTCAATTTTTTTCTTTAAACGTTTGGTAGGATTACTTCTAAATGCACTCTATAAAATAGCAAAAACGCCATATTTCTCTACACTTTTGTTTCTTCAAAAATTAAAAAAACGTATTTTTTTTACTTATCTCTTATATCGTTAATATTTATACTAACGACAATTTGTTCACATTATTCTATTTATAAGTATAAAGGCTTTAAATAATGTGAATTAAAGTATCTCGAAAACTTAACTATTTTCTGTGACAACTTGCTCAAAATTCCGCATCATCAGAAATGCTCTAACGTCATTTTCTCAAAAATGGCTCCAAATTTTTTCTTCAACCTTTTCGAACGGATCGTGCTAATTGTCCTCTTTTATATGACGTAAAGTTCATTTTGAGACATGTTTTTGTTTTATTTCACAAGTTACACAAATGAAATTTCTTTGTAAGATCTCTCACACGGTTATTATACACAACACTATTGAATTTGTGAATTAATATTCTTTAAATGACTTCGAATGAAGTTTATTGAAAACTCAAAAAGTGTCTGTGAAAAGAGGTTCGAATTTCTATTTTGCAAGAGTGCTTAAGCGAGAATGTTATAAAAACAGCTGGAAATTTTTCTAAGACAATTGAAATTTAGGACCAGAAATTACTGTTCTTTAGTATTCTTAAAATAATATTTTCTTTCTACCAAACCAAACCAAAATTGAAAAAAAAATTAAATAAAATGTACTTTGGGTTGCGATAGATGTCAGCAGGCAAGCGTGTCTAGATGGCAAGAGCGAGTACCTAGCCGAGACCAAAGGAAATATAAACTAATAAGCTAGATATGCCTAGAAAGTATAAGTATGCAATTCTTAAGCATCAATAGTTTACTCGTATAATATGCGTTTAAAGCTGGGTATTAATGTACAGACGACCAGATACCATCAACATTTAAATCATACGTCTGGATTGTGATCGTTGGAAGTTTTCGAGCGACATGCACTATTCTTTCTATAATTTTAAGTTTGGTGGCTTTTTAAAAAATATTCACGACGCATCGCGCGTTTTGATTGTTAATTTGTATTTATTTCAAGGTATTGTACTTTGCCATATTAAAATCCACATTTTTCCCTATCATCAATTTCCATTCTAAGCGGGAAAGATGTTAACAAAACGTATTTATTTGTTTAATAATATAAAAGTGACTTTCAATGTAATTAACTAATTGCCAATAAAAATTAAATACAATGCAATTGATATTGGAAAAAAATTTCAATAAGGATTTATTGAATATTATCGATAGATTTTTTGTAAAAATTCCCAATAATTCTTTAAAAATATACGAAGTATCTTTGGCAGTTAGCTATTTGTTTTTCGTGATAGTCAATAAAATATTAGAAAAGCTTTTTATTTTTGGGAAAGCTACGTGACTGAACACGATGACATTAAAATTTCACCGAATCACTGCCGATAACAAAAGTACTGGTGCAGGTAAAACACGAACTAAACATAACAATACACATCTTCACTTTTTACCGCACATTCACATACCTCCATAATTAGGTACACAGCACTTGTAGACCTCGAAAATACGTTAAATTAATGTCTTCACTACACGCATAAGTAACAATCTTCATCAGAATTAAAGCATCTATTAATAGTACTTCACGTTATTGCTGTGAGAGCGAATCTTGAATGAGTAATTATGCAAATAAACCTCGTCAGTCTGATCAAAACACGATCTATACAAAAACCATAAATAGTATATAATAGAGAAATTTCACCCTTCTTAGCGTGGCGTCAAAAAGTTGGCTGCCTTCACCAAGGGTTGAAATATAGGTGGCATTGGTAGTATCGATAAGTACTAATCCATAAAAAGTTAATATATATTCCAAAATTATCTCATCCTAAAGATTACAGTGTGAGAAAATTTTCTTTGAGGTTTTAGACCCCAACATTTTAGTTTTTAAGGCCCTAGAACTCTTCGTTTAAGAGGTATTTAACGATATATCTGACTGAGTGCTGCGGGTTCTATTTCATGCGTATGGAAATTTGTATGCGTTTTTTAAAACAAATCCTTCATATTTTTTAAGTCAAAGTGCAATTTGTCACGTTTTTGTGAAATTATCTTTCTTTAAAGACCTCATATACAGATATTGGTTAGGAGTTAGCGCCTCAAAATGTATGTATACTACTGAAATAATATAGGAACGATGAAGATATTTGAACGAAACAGATTTTCGCATGTTTTTTAAGTGTCATTTATGTTATCCGAGAACAAAGTTTAATAAAAAAATAGAGACACATTTGAAAGTATTGAAAATGTACTTGAGGCTTCATGTAAAGTACTCCCCCCCCCAAATGTAAACTATTGATTCTAAAGAATGGCTCAGACGTTCTCGTAGAAAACAAAGACGTTCACTAATCCAGAACATTTATATATAAATGATTTAAAATAATTACTGCAAAATAAAACATCGTCATTCACCAAATACAAATACGAATTCGGAACCAAATAAAAAACTGCAACCTATTTCAGTAATACAACGGTTCCAAATCAAGTATATTAGAAACAATCACTACGCAAGTAGTACATTATAACAACACTTACACCACACTGTATTTTTATAACACAATTTCATTGTTGAATCACTTTATTAAATAAAATAATATCCGGAATTTGATATTAAATGTCCGCCCTGATGATCCTAGCCAATTGCACGTTTTTAAGCTAGCAAAAACAAAAATTTCACTTTTCCGTTATTTACAAAACTTTGACAAAAGGATGTAATCAAAATATTCAAAGATATTTTCAATTTACGAGATAGTTAGTTTTTGTTTTTGATCAATTGATTTTTTTATTATGTTTGATTAAAACACACCTGCATTTTCAGCATTTTTATTATTTTTTATTTTTGGTCCCCAAATATCTTGGTTAAAATCAAGGTATCGGAATATCGGAGAGAATGAATATCGAAGAAATTCATTTGGAGAATTTCGGGGAAAACGTATCCATTATTTTTGAGAAAATCTGGTATGAACGTTTCGGAAAATTTACCGTTTCTAGTTCCCACATACTCTAAATTTTTCAAAAACATTCATTAGAAATACTTCGAAGGTTATGTGCTAACAAACGCAGTAAACAATGAAATACATCTATAATGTAAATTTTACGACGTGACAGGTATTATTTAAAAAAATCGTATAATTTTTCAAAAATCAAAAGAACACAGCAAAATGATGTTTTTAATGTCTTATACAGTACATGCTACTATTCGTACAAACGTTTGAACGAAAAATTTGTATTCGTTTTTGAGGTACTCATGTTTTTATTATTTTTTAGTATTGCTCATATTTCAATCCAAATTGCAAACTTCATTTGAAAAAAAATTCGCGATTTTCAATATTGTAGCTCAATATTAAGAAGATGTTAAAAAATTAAATACTTTTGCAAGTTTCGAAAATTGAAACTTAGCAGTGAAAATATATTTTTATAAATTTAAAGCTATATATGATAAAATTTTGAATATGTCCTAGGGGCTTCTTGAAAAATACCCCCAAAAGTTAAATAAAGTTATTTACAATCGTAGAGCGTCAAGTGAAGATACATTGATTGGGGAGTATTCAGTTTTTAAAAATATCCTCCCCTTAGTTAAGCTCTAGTGTCGTTCACAGACCATGAACAGATGCACGGACGTATAAAACTTGACTGAATTTTGGAATAATTTAAATGATGATAACCTGTACATCATGTGCAGATTATCATCTTTTGTGCTTACCATTGATAAATTATATTTTTAAATTTTCTATAACATACATTCTTTGTATTTTTTGTGTTTCAATAAAGAAGAGTTCAGTACATGTTAGGGGGTCTAACTTGCCATGCCTCAAGGGTCACAGTCAAAACGGTTTGCGGGATGTATTTGATTACTCGGGCGATCCGCACCTGACTTCCCAAAATTGTTGACCTCAGCAGTTTGCTCTTTCAATCTAAACAACCAATTTTAACCCCGCCCCGAGGGGGGGGGGCGTGGCTAGATGCACAGTATTCTCGACCGAGATGGATGCAAGGGACTTTTGAGTAATATCACTTTGTTCACCACATTAATTGGCACCTTGGGTCGAATGCGGTCCGCGAGCCGCCAGTTGGATAATCCTGGTGTACGCTTATCTGCCATAAAAAGT